AGATAGATAGATAGATGATAGATAGATAGATAGATAGATAGATAGATAGATAGATAGATAGATAGATAGATAGATAGATAGATAGATAGATAGAGATTGATTTTTATGATTGCAAACCATCCAGAGTTATCCTTTGGTAAGATTGGAGTGGGGGGGGGAGAGACACAATAAATTTTATAAATAAATAAGTATACATAGTTCAGTAAGTTATGCTTGTTAAATGGCTACTCCTACATTATGAAATAATGCCACAAATAAAGTCTTAGTTTCTCTTCAGATAGTTAAGGCTTTAATTCTACACTTCCATTCTCCAGAAAAACTAACATTTAACTATAGAGACTATGTGGTAAGGAAAAACAACCATAAAACCCAACATTTAGAGATTACCTGCTCCAGCTTTTCAGACCTTATTGTTAAAAGTTTTGTTGTCTCTCTCAAACCACCCTGTACTCAGGTAGATGATCTAAGTCCATTGGACTGATTGGACAAGCTATTAAACCAATTTGTTCAAAGGTTTCATTTCACAGCATTTCAGCAACGTTAAGGGGAAAACATTCTATGAGTCTCTGCATGAACAGTTGGGAAGCAAGAATTTTTTTTGTTTATGTATGAATATGGGTGTGGAAATATATAAATCAAATAACTTTTAGTTAAAATTGGTTAAGTAAGCATCAACTTTAATTTAGAAAACAGATGAGTGGAAAACAATGTATTGAATATAGAGCAGTGCTTTTCTTTTTTTGGGTAGTCAAATAGATTACAAATTACCAACACCCCAAACACAAATTACATGGTGCTTTAAAAAATAAAAAATAAAAATCCAACTACAGATCCAATTCCTCAATCTACAAAGCTTTCTGGTTTGACTGATCATTTTCTTGGTTTCATTTTTTCTGGATCTGGCAGTAAAGGGCCATTGAAAACACCATGCCAACAATCTGAAAAAGAAAGAAAGATATTTAAGATGCATTATTTGGCAACTTCAGTAACACTTCAGTACACAGCAAGAACATTTTGTTTGCAAAATTCGTGGATTTTGCATGTACTAATGGAGCTGCTATGTTAAAGATAGCTTCCAACACCATTTAGAGATATGACTTTCAGATAGTGGGATTTTAATTAAACCCATGTATATCGCAGTATAGGAAACCTCAATTTATTCTGAAAGATGGATTGTTTTAACAAGTGAAGACAAGTTGTGAGATTCTTACTTGTACTTTATATTGCAACATTTGTGGGAAAGAGATCAGATTTCTTGAGAGCTGAAAAGATTTTTCATACTGCTTCCTGTCAACATTAGAATTCTTAGAAACCTTACTCATAAAGATATGAATTACTTGCATTTCTATAATAAATTACAGCAAAACAACAATCTTGCATAATTGAATAACTAATGTATTCTTGCATAAATGTTCATGGATTTATGTTCACTACTTCAAATCCAAATATTATAATAATATATTTTTTAAATAGTTTGTGTTGAAGGTGCTACAATATTTGTAATTTGAATTCTTGTGCAACTGTTATTATAAATGTGGGGATTTGCTGTTCTAAATAACTGGTCACTTCAATTTAACAAAATATTTATAACAAATTTAAGTAGAAATTTGAGCACATTCATATATGTGTTGCTTTAAATAAAATTGAAACTATCAAATGGAATTTTTCCACTGGAGTTTTAAAATTGACTATTTTTCTAGCTCTTCATGAATATTTGGTAGCTTTAAAATTGATTATTTTAAAGCTACCACATGTTTATGAAGAGCTAAAAAATCAGAACTCTGACTACATTTTTGTAATCAATAATTGAAACGAACACTAAACAACAAGACTACATAAAAAGTGGCAGGTCTGCTTCACTGTTCCACAAATAAAGTTATTTGGAATTCACTCTAAAAGAACTAGTTATAGAACAGTATGGCTGGTGTACATCAGCTGTAGGAGAAGTAAATAATCTTCAGTCTTTGATGCCTTCTCTAACTGCTATACTTGAAAACAACTCTCATTTCAAGACAGAAAACATGATATCTCTATTGAACAGCAGAGATTAAAACAAAAACAAAAAACAAAGAGGAAAAGAACAAATAGCCTTTCTCAATATAAATTCTTGCCTCACCCAATGAAGACTTTACCTTTACAAAAGAACGTACTATAGTAATAAGTTGCCAAACATTTACAATGGGAAGCTCAGAGATCCAAGCAACTGTTATCTGCAGAGCTAACTATTAACTGTTAAACGAGCTGTATGTTTTACATCTCTTTCTGTAAATTAAGATATCAGAGACTAAGAATCTATCTGGAAAGGTAAATGAAGCTAAGTTTCCTTTTCCATTAAAAAAGAAATCCTTAATGCTTTCTTTGTTTGGACTTCACTCCTTGTTCTTATTGAACCCACCTCATTTTTGTAGTTCCAAGTTCACATTCTTGTTATTGGACAAACTGGATTAACATCCAACTCCTGGACCTTATCCAAAACCCACCACAGCATTAATCAAATAATAAAAAGCAGGTTCTCATATTTGAATTAAAATATTTTCTCACAAGAATTCCATAATTACAGAGGTCACATTAAAATTTAAAGTCTTATTTTTACTGCACTTTAATTCTGTTGTTATTATCATTATTCTTTCTTGTTTTTTCATAAAACAAGGTTTGAGTGTAGGGGTTAATCCATCAGGCTAAAAACTGTGAGACAGTGACTTTTGTTCCCACCTTAGTCAATCACTTTCTCTATGAGTCTACAAAGGAAATAATGGCAAATCACTTTTGAAATATTACCAGGAAACTTTAGGGATTTTTCCAGGCAATCTCCAGAATGCACGATTAACTCAATTGCCCCATCCCGCCCCTCCCCCCCAAACCCTGACCAACTAATTAAGTTTCTTTTAAAAAACCTCTTAATTTGGATAGAAAAATTAAGAACTGATTTAAAATTTTATGTGTATTAATCTGAGACAAAGATTCAGTACAGAAACAATAATCCAGTGACATGGTGGTAGTTATGGCAGTTCTATTATTAGCTCTACAAATGGCATAGTTTGATCCAGTCCAAGACAGGCTTCCTCTCAAGTCATGGATGATTGTCTGCCACCTGATTTTAGAGGAGGCTGTTAATTTTATTATTGCCTGAATCACTGTTTTGGGGTCTGACAAAAAATATTGTATCTATTGTTTTAAAAATATTAAAGAGGAATATAAACAAAGAAACAAAAACTTCCTGCGATTTTGATGCTCTCTCTCTTTTGATTCAGCCTAGGACTGCTTTAGCTTTTTTGACCGCTGCAGCAGAGTACTGATTCATACTTAAGCAGTGATCCACCAGGACACCCAGATCCCTCTCATTTACTTAATTGCTCATTGTCTACTCCTCTTGTTTTTGAATAGAGAGGAAATGTTTAGGGATATCTCCCTTTAACTCTTTGACCCTTTTAAAATTATTTTACTCACTCCACTGTTCATTCCACTATTTACCTTATATGTTATTTGCAATCTCTGTATCAGCTCTGTTTACTCAACAGGAAGTCTATCAGAATACACAGCTTCTTTTCTTGTTCCTTCTATTTATTGAACTACACAATTCAGGAATCCAGTAAGATCCCACTCATGGCCTCTACTGAGTAGGACTTGTTCAGTTCCCAACCATTTTTCATATAATTCACAGTCAGGATTTTCCTATTTACCTGGATAAAGTAGGAATATGCAATAGAAGGGACTCCATTTATTCAGTGGGCCCAATCTTTTATGTTCTAATTTCTAATGACTCCACCCCCCCAAAAAAAATTGGCGGGACTTTTGAATCCAAAACATGGAAGGTAGCAACCTAGCAGCAGCTCTTTTCTGAACATCAGAAATATTCTTCATCAAGTCACTATCGATACTGTTGAGGTATGGAGGAGGAGGAGCTAATGTCGCGATGATATGGACGTGTGGTCTCGATGCTCCGAGACCGCAGCCAATACTTTTGCCGATACACTTTCTACAGCATGTAACAACTGATACACTTTCTACAGCACGTAAAGAAGGATTGTGTTTGTTTTAAATAAAAAATAATTTAAAAAGAAATACTGTTGAGGTATGCTTATCCTTTAACAAGACTTGATCAACCAAAACCATTCAATTTGATGTACTACCAATGAAATGATAGCTTGCAATATCATGACAGATTGAAATAAGATTTTATTGCTATACCTCAATAAATGCCAGTCCAAATGCTATCCCCATAACTATAACCATATTGTTCTTCAATATTTCCATAATTACAGTCGCACAAGTCTGAAAGAAAGGAAAAGACAAAAATGGTATAAATCCTGCATGCATCAGCTATTTTAACCAAATAGTCATGTTACAAATTTAAATTAATTTTGCTGGTATCAAAAGGCAAAGGAGAAATGAATATCTTCATTTTTTCAAACTTCCAAGATCTACTGTGAGATTTTTATGGTTCTAATGAAAAAGTGGATAATCAATTGAATAAATAAATAAGATCTGAATTGTTTTTGATAAGTATTACAATAGCAACATTTAAGAAACAAAACAGTTTTAATAATTGGTTTCATCCAGGTTTAGAAAGTCAATCAGACAAAATAACTCTTTAAAAAACCAAGCACTAAAACTACTGAATGCCTAAGCCACTTGGGGATTTTCTATGAATTCCATATTTTATGTGGAAGAAATGTGAAAAATACATAAAAACAAGTTGGCCTATAGAATTTGATGGGAGCTCCCAGTTGTGATAACCATTAAGTCATGAATATTAGTCTAACTTGTCTCTCAATTATTTTTCAATGGGATTATTTTCATCACGTCATCAATCCATCATGCATTGTTTTAGAAGCTTTTTCAATACATTGTTAGATAGGAGATTATGCATCATTATATAAAGGAAGACTTTGGTGTATTTGTACTTATTCTGGAATATAAAAGAGCAACCTGCATGTTCAAAAATTTGAGAGAAATGTTTTGGGTATTACACAGGAGAGAACACAATTTCTCTCTATTAGTTCAACAATAGTTCAACTTTCAGAATGTTTTGTGTAAACCTGAAGAAAAGACATGTCAGTATTAAAGAATCAACTTACTAAAGTATTCATTCATGTGTTTATTTATATGATTGCTTATTAATCAACTGACTCTGATATCATATTAGAAACATGTTAGATCCTAAAAAATAAATATTTACTCATTTTGGCATAATACAGCACTTAAATAGTGCTGAGTTAGAAACCAGGACATTGCAAGTTCTAGTTCTGCCTTAGGAATAAAAACATTAGGTCAATTACTTTCTCTCAGCCCAAGGAAGGAAGCAATAGCAAAACACTTCTGAAATCTTGCCAAGAGAATTCCATTGACCTGTCCAGGTAGTTGATAAAAATTAATGCTGACTTGAAGACATCAGAAAACAAACAAACATAGTAGTGACAGAAATGCAAATTATAATAATTATGGTTTTCATTAGCTTTCCCCTAACCCGGGTATTTCCTAGATGAAGACTAGGAAAGAAGTATAAACATCCAATCAATGCCTGAAAATCATCCTGCATTACTGTTCCCTATAATGATTCCATGATATATGAATCTGGAGACTACAAATGGCCACTAAACCTAATAGTCATTGATGTATTCATGCTATTTTTTTCTTACCTTTGCATAGTGTTGTTTATCACAATAAATTGTACCTATGTCTGTCTGATTACATTCACATCCATGGTAAGGAAGAAAGTTTTGTCCCCAATCTTCTTTTCCTTTAAGCATGCCACAACATTTGTTCTACAAGAAAAACAATAATGAAGAGTTTAGTTTGATAAACTAATTCTTCTGATGCATAAGCAGCAAAGCTTATACTGCAATCTTTTCAGTTTTCCATTAACTTTGCTGAATATTCTTCCCATATAAAGGCCATATAAGAGGTATATACCATTCACTGACACAAAGAAGGGAAATTTGATGAATTTATAGCCACTTTTGCAGAAAACTGAGATTGGTTGTTTAAAATACAGTGTTAGACAGACAGACATTTTACATTATATTTTACATCCTGTAAAATTAGAAAAATCACCATCAAAATATGCGGGCAATATTTTTTTGGTCAGAAGACTAGAAAAGAGATGAAATATAAAAGCCTAACTCTATAGGATTGTTGGCATCCCTCCGCATCTACTAATTACATTTACACACTATAGTCATGATTTAAACCTAGTTCTTCTGTTCATGCATCCCAATGTAAGATGCTAGCAGTGAATTTGTGATGTGATATTATGATGCATGCATTTTCACGCCTGTCTTCCCACATCCCTATGTCAATGCCACAATCAAACCAAATTAAAATGGTTATTCTTTTTCTTGATAATTAAAAACAAAAATTAACAGTCAGAAGTGTTCTATAATATGTAGATACTGTATGTATTGCTGCCTGTTAATATCTAAACATCAAGTAAAAATCTACAGAAGTGTTTCTCAGCCTTGACAACTTTAAGACATGTGGACTTCAACTCCCAGAATTCTGGAAGTTGCCAATGTTGAGAAACGCTGATCTATGGCTTGGAAACAGAATTCTTGAGAAGTCAGCAGTGTCATAAACAGGCTCTAGTAGATTATAGTTATCTAACATTGCCTGGAATACCAAATACGGACATCATTTTCTCAGCTCATTAATATTTCCAGGAGTCAGTCATTTTGGTGCAGATTATTGGTATCAGAGGTGGGCTACTGCTGCCGGTTTGGCCCAGAGCAGGAAAACCAATAGTAGCGGCATCTGGAAGCTCCGCCCACCCACCCGGATGTATGCAGGAGCATGCTGTGCATGCAGGAGCGCGTCCGAACCGGTAGTAAAAAAATTGGCAACCCACCACTGATTTGTATTCAATAAAGCTTGGTCTGTATTTGCTATTGTGAAATTAGGGAATTGGAGATGACAATGGTTTTCAAACATATAGTAGTTTGATTTTAAGATGTTAGAAAAAGTAGAGTAAAAATAGTAGTAAATATTAATGAACTTAATTTGCCTCCATCTCAAAGTTGTGGAACTTGTTCAGAGCATCCTTATTATTAGTTGAAGCAAGTTTTAATACATCCATTTCTTTCTCGAGAGTCTGGTTTACGAGGCCTTCAATCTGCAAATGAACAGATGATACAATCAGCCTATGTAATTTATTTACTACATAACTTAATAAGATTGAAGAATGAAATACCTGAGATTTATATACTGCTCCCAAAATGCCTGCTACAATTTGAAGAAGCAGAATCAACAGTAGTCCAATGAAAAACTGGTGGGAAGAAAAAAAAATCTCAGCTCCAGGAAGGTGTATTTACAAAGTGCTTCATTTTGTAAATGTTCTGGAATGGTTTACAATATTCTAATATATTTATAAAGTGAAACAAAATCCCTTGAAAAGGCACTTGTTAGGAAATACAGATTTTTGAAATCAGAATGTGAGTATAGGCAATGTTCAAAAGTTGTACATAAGAGATATTTTAAGAAAATACAATTTTTATGTATTTAAGAAAACTGAAATCAATGGAATTATATAATTCAGTATGTACTATAATTGTACATAATTCTGAAACAAAGCTGCATTTTCTCTAGACAATATTTTTTAGAAGGCATGGCTCATGAGATGTCATATTGTTTTCCATCCATTAGAATAATGACTTGCTTCCTTTCAATGATATGTGCTTGCTTGTATGGTATAATTGCATTTTTGAATAATTAGTCAAAGTAGACCATGTATTTTTTAATACATGTTAAAACACTTAATGATTAACCTTACAGTTTGTCATACTTGGGTTAAAACCTAAGCGTCGCTTAAGTAAGTTCCAAAAAAATGCCATTCATAATTCTGATTAGGCATAAATAATTATAGAGAGATCACTATTTAACAAGAATGAGGGACAATGTTGGATTAAAATAATGGAGGCTCACAAAAGTCAAACTTGTTTTTTACAAGATAGTATGAAAATGATTCATTAAAACCAATGTTGAAGTACAAAGGAATATCAGGAGAGGGGAAGAAAGGATTTTATTTTATAGCTGACAAAGCTACTTAAAACTTCTTAAAGAGTTTTGTGAACTTCTTTTCTTTGGTATCTACAAACTTGCCTTTATCATAACACACCAAAATAAATACATCCATTGAGACTGAACTTGCTTTTTAGTACTGATTAGATCTGTCCAGGTGATGAAATGTATGGAATTGTGGAGGCAAGGCAAGCTTCTGTCTGGTACAAGGGTACAACATCTGATTAACCCCTAAGATTGTCTACAAACTGCGCTGTTACTGCAGAAGCTGCCTACCATACCTAAGTCTGACTGGTTTTTGGGAAGAAGCCTCTTCTGTGGCTCCCAGTTTATGGGATGTTTTTCCACTAAGGTGGAATTATTTAGGAAAATGGTAAAGGCATATATTTTTTTTGCCAGACTTCTACTTATCAAATATTTCAATTACTGCATTCAATTTGTTTAAAACTTTCTATTACTGTTATAATCACTTGGAATGTTGGGATAAACACAAAGATGGCATATACATTTTATAATGAACAGCATTAAATGAATAAATATATGGTAAAGGATACAATCAGTAGCTCTGATCCTAATTACTGTGCATGCAAAAGTCCCACATTAGCAGATTACATAGATGGCGTATGTTGTACGCTTATTTTAGATATTTGAAAGTTAAGTGACTGCAGTTAAAACAGAATTACCCTTATAGATCATATGCAAATGTAGCTCTGTCTCAGTTGTCCTATATGCTTTCTGAAGAATTGGGAAAACTGAGATCACTAATGCCAGCCTGCAAATATTCCAGGTTGCAAGCCCATGTCTTTCAGTTCCCCACTTTCCCCAAGTGAGAAAAACACTGAGTGCCAAGATTGCCACAGTTCAACTCAAAAGCAACTTAAGGAGAACCAGGGAAACAATCTGGCACCCTACACAGGTCCTTTACGCTACCTCTGAGGAATATGCCCAGTTCAAATAATTTAGCAATCGGTCCTCTACCCTAATGACCAGTTGGGAAGGCAGGGCTCAGTGGTCATGTGACTGGGTGGGCATGGACAATTTAATGTCACTCACGTTGATGGCCGCTTCACCTTAGCTGTTACAATGTAATAAGGGTTAACTGGAGAGGTAATTTATGTAAGCAGGGCAATAAAGATTAGGCTAGAAACAACACCAGGTTTCCTTCCTGTCTTCCTTACACAGGATTAGCCCTGTAAAGTGGAAAAAAACAAAAGGAGATTTCTTCCAACAACTGATTCTCCAAACTGTTTAAAAAGTTAACAACCAATTCTCCCAAATAGGTGCGAACTGGCTGAATCCCACCACTGAACATGCCATTTTTGAGGAATTACTGAAATAGTATTATGATGTAGCAGAATCCACATTCTGAAACCTACAAAGAAACCAGCACCTTTTTTTTTTGGTGAACATCCTTACATAAATACTGAACTGAATTAAGAATCAGAATATCCCAAAAGTGACTGCATTGGAGAAAAGCAGTTATGACAGACATTCAGATAGCAGCAGGCTTTTATTTTCATTCTGAAATCTATTTGGTTCAGGTTCTTTTCTTGTCTTCTTCAAAATAGGGGTTCATAATGTATGTAGTCTATGTAATGTGTAATTAAAGTTCACATTAGCCAGTATTAGAATTCCTACCTAGTGTGCAGATACGTAATAATACAGATAGTCCTCAACTTATGACCACAATCGAGCCCAAAGTTTATGTTGTTCAGTGAATTTTGCCCCATTTTACAACCTTTTTAGCCAATTATTAAGTGAATCACTGCAGTTTGTTAAGTTAGTAACATGGTTGTTAAGTGAATCTGGCTTCCCCATTGACTTTGCTTGTCAAAAGGTCGTAAAAGCTGTTCACATGACCTCAGGATACTGCAACCATCATAAATAGGAATCAGTTGTCAAGTATTCAAATTTTGATAACATGATCCGAGGATGCTGTGAAGGCCGTAGTGTGAAAAATGATCATGTCATTTTTCCAGTGCTATTATAACTTTGAATGGTCACTGAACGGAATGTTGTAAATTGAGGGCTACCTGTATTTATGGACTTTGGCTTAAAAAGGCATCGTTTCTACCTTTAATTTGTAATTCACGTTTTCCCCAAAACTCCTTAAATTCATATCTTTCCACACAGAAAATGGTAAGGAGTGTAGTGTAGTTACACTTCTCATTGGCAGTAGAAGGCACATTCTCCTTATGCCTGCTTGAGAAAAAAAATCCTAACTAAAACTAAAGATCATTTATTGTCCAACAAGATAAATACATGCAGGGAATTGCTTTGAAAATATTGGCAAAGAAAATGTTATAGAAATTGAAACTCTACCAGGAGGAGCATGCACTGGCTCTCTTTCATGGCACCACAGCAACCTAGAAACCCAAGCACCATAATGATAGAGCCCACAGCAATGAGGAGATCAACAGCAGGAAGCAAGCTTGAGTCTGTTTTGAAGTCCTGAAAAAGAGAAATACAAGGTTTCAGATACAATCAGTGAAATAGTTAAGGAAGCTAAAGATAATCTAAAAAGGAAGCTAGGAGCAAATGAACAGCTCTCTATTATTCATAGACATAAGTCATATTATCAGCAAACTACTTTGCCCTAAGGCAATACCCTCAGTCATGGCATTTCATTCTGATTGTTCAGCACTCAAGGACATTGCTCTAGTGCTGGAACTCCAGAGAAGGTAGTGGATTGCTTTGGTACAGGTGAGATGTACTGAAATGGGCCATGCAGAAGTGGGATTGCCTGGTTTTTAGCCAATACAGCAGATTATAAATTCCCAGATTAGAACAGAATGATGAATATTTGTGTTACTCATATCCTGCATTTTCAATGTCAGTTTGTTTCCTGGATGGCAAACAAAGTCGTATTATAATGGAAAGCTAATAAAAAATAAATTTATATATTCTGTACAAATAATTAAGGAAAGCAAAATCAAATCAAATGAATAGTACGAGTGTCAGCATTCCAAATATCATGCAGAATTAAATCAGAGTCCAAAAGCTATCCTTAAGGTTCCAATTTAATAAGACAGGCATGTTGGCATTATACTATGGATCCCAATACTGAAAATGACATCAGAATTCCACCCAGTTAAAAGTTCATGATCTTGTCCCCACACCCACAATCCATCACATGGTCCAATCTTCTTCTTCCATGCTGGCATCCACACCCAGCTGCTTCCTGTCAGGTGTACTGGTGCGGAGACAAAGGATGACCTTGGCTTCTAGTAAAGAATGAAAACAATACATTCCACAATCTCACTCCTGTCTATTCCCCCTCCCATCAACTATACCAGTGGTCCCCAACCTTTTTATCGCCGCGGACAAGTCAGCCTTTGATAATTTTACCGTGGCCCGCTGAGGGCGCGCAGGGGTGGGGGGGCGTTGTTCGCGCGCGCTGTAAAATGTAAAATTTTATTGAATATTAACTAGGTTGCTTCTTTTAAGCTATTTTAATGTTTTAAAAAGTAAAATCTGATTTGACAAAATTCTCAAGAGTAGTACATGAAAATTTGGCATAAACCTGCGTTATTCTTAGGTGAACATTCTGAGTAAGTTCTAAATAGCCGAATTTCTCTATTTCCTTTTGAGCCTGTATCCGCAAGACTCCATGCAACACATTCAAGGAACTCATATCCCTCCATGAAGTATGGAGCATTCCCAGAGTTTACAGAATACGCATCTTGACACCATATTTGACTCTTCACAAGGAGTAGAATACACAGCTATAAAACGGGAAGAAGCAGACTCGGTCGGGGGGCGGCAACGGGCGCTTCACCAGGCGGGTCGAAGGAGCCGCAGTCGGCTTGGCATTCGGGGCTGGGCGGGGGGCCTGGCGCACCGAAGCCTTCGCCTCTCGGAAGGGTCAGCGAACCGCCTGGCGACACGGGAGGTCGGCCGCCTGCCCCCTCCCCTCCATGGGAAGCACGAGGCTCCGCGTCCTTTCAGGCCAAGCGGACGCCAGGCCAAGTGCGCGCCTTCGCTTCGGCGACAAAATGACAGCCCTGGAGAGCTACTGTGGTGCCAGGCTGGGCGAAGGGAGCCGCCGGCGGCGGGCGGGCGCCCTCCCCTCCCTCCCGCAGCGGAGCCTCCCTCGGCCTCTCGGAACGGCGAAGCTCCCCAAGTTCCCCCGAAACGGCCGCGCTGCGCCCCTCCCCCCCGCAACCTTAGTTTCTCCTTGGGAGGAAAATGCAGTGCCGCCGCCCCCTCCTGCCCCCCCCTCGTCATTCCACGGGGCAGGCGGGCCGGGCGAGTCCGCGGACAAAGTTTTGCCTCCCAGGCAGCCTCCGCCAGCAGCATCCCAAGTTCGGGCCGAGGCCGCCGCTGCCGCCCCCTCCCTCCCGGGGCGAGCAGAGCAAGAGGGCGGGGGGGAGATCGGGCCTCCCCTCGCCCCCCCCCAGCCCTGCACATCTGGGGTGGCGGGGGGGCAGAGAAAGGGCGCGTTCATGAGGACTACAAAGTTGCAAATATGGCCCCCGGCCGCTGCAGCTATCATGGCCCCCGGCCGCTGCGCGGCCCGGTGCCACGTACTCCACGGCCCGGCACCAGTCCGTGGACCGGGGGTTGGGGACCACTGAACTATACTAATGAAACAGCATAATGAAATAAGAGAAAGTGTGGCAGGCCAAAATTCTAAAAGGAATATAATTGCAGGCCTGACAAAGAGTAAAATAACACACTCTCTCAAACCAGCTTGAATGAACCATAACACATTTTGCCTGAACAGATTAAAGGTGTACACAAGTATTCTTAGGATTGATTATGTGTCATTATGTATTAGGAGTTTTTAACTCCTAATCACCTGAAAGAACATTAGAAATACATCATGATGAAGAAAATCAATCAGCGTGGTCATTAGATGAAAATTCCCGGAAAGGGCATTTCAGTATGAGGAACTCAAATAAATTTCCAGTTATTTCCAGGGGATGTCATTTGTTGGTCAAGCACAGTCTCCTGGTTGCTATTGAATCATGTTACATAGCAAACATATAAACTCATCATAATAAGGGCAGCAATCTAACAGGCATTTGCTAATTAATGCCCTTATGCCACAGGGCAAAAATAGGTGACAGATTATTAATTTATTTGATCCTGAAAAACTGAAAACAGGATCAGGCATACCCTGGCTGGTAAAACAAACCAGGAAATTTTAGGACTGTAGAGTAGAGTAATAAATTGAGAAAACCCACAGAAATTTCTTTTATAAACCACATGGATATGTCCATGAAGGCACAGAAGTCAAGCTGGACTAGAAGAAGATGATGTTTTTAATATTAAAAAAACCTAATACAGGAGAAGAATGTGATATTAGTACATTGCTGGTATAGAGTTGCAACAGTTGCTCATACCTTCATTGAATTTGCATTTAAATCAATTTGTATAGCTGACACCAGTATTGTAAACTGTTTTCCAAAAAGATTTTAAGAGATAATTATTTGTATCTTATTCCTGATCACATGAATAAAATGTTTCAAAAACACTTTTCATGCTTCATTCAATACAATGTTAAGTTTCTATTTTTACATTTAAAAGCTTAAATTAAACTGGTAAGATATACTTTCTTAACTGGAAAATCTAAGAGTAAACTGGGGGCGGGGGAGATAAGGCTCACACCATAAATTCTAGGAGAATTCATCACCGCTTGGAATTGCTCAAATTTTGCTAATTGTCAGATTCTTTATTCCAAATGTTAAAAAAAAAAGTTTTACATTTTGAAAATTAAAACAAGTTAATGTCTTTCATTTCTCAGCAAAGTTATTATGAGGCCAAACTATTTTTACAGAATAACTACAAGCAAAGGTATAAGGTCTATCTAAGTTTCTAAGAGAAGATTCTCTTTCTAAGGGAAAATCCTTACCTAAATCTTTTTATGGAGAAAAGGAGGTAAATATTTAGCCAGGAATGAGCAATTAGATACTTGATTTTATGTGTGTGAAATTGAAATCTTTATTGTTTCTGATATTTATTTTTCCCTCTGCAAACCTAGTGACTCTGTGACTTCAGTAATAGACCAGTAACATATTTCAGTCTGTTCAAAGTGTTAAATTGTTATATTTAATTTTTTATAATTTTCCTTTTAGAGGCTTTTTTGAAATCGCTTTCTCCTCACCATTTTAAGTACGGCTACTTAAAATAGGAAAAATATATTTACATTAAAGTTTCTTTTATTAAATAAAGTAATTCTTTATTTATAACTTGAAATTGATCTCAACTTCCAAAGAGGAGTAGAGGGTGACAGCTATAGAATTAATTTCATTTTTATCCATTTTATTTTTCTGTGACTTGCCAGGAAGATGCAACTGTAGTATGTGTTGACACCTCTAATTATTAGTGATAAAAGAAAAGCATATTTACCTCTTGGGTATGTTTGCTGACACGTATCCATATAGAGAATCCCAGAATAATACATCCAATTATCTAGTTAAAGAGAGAAAAAAACCAATATCCTGAAAATAATGAAGCCACTATTTAATGCAGATGCCTGGAACATTTTTTCTATTATTTAATTATTTAACCCAGAGGTGGTATTCAGCTGGTTCTCTCTGGTTCGGGTGAACCAGTATCAGCGGCTGTGGTAGGCTCCGCCCACTTACCTCATCGTAATGCGTGAACAGAAGTCGATGCACATGTGCAGAAGGTGGCACGTGCGCTTTCATTTGCGAACCGGTAGGGAAGGGAAGTGAATTCCACCACTGATTTAACCCCATCTTAATATGCATTAACAATCCAAAACACCATATACAAATTGATTCTATTAATAAAAGAAATCTAATTTCTCAAGTACTGCCTTAATCAAAATATCAATTTCTCACTTAAAATATAATTTTGTTTTCGGGGAAAATTGCTATGACATGCAACACACATAAAAAGATCATGTTGCCATCTTGACTTCTGTATAACACACCCTGTGAATTCTTTTGCTTGCTTTTTTTATCTCAATATTATGTTTAATTTTTTTTAAGTACATTTTTAAATACTGGAGAAAGGGCCACACTTTTCCCGTTTTCCCTTTGAATGTCAAAAGACATTACAGGTAGTCCTCGACTTACAATATTTCACTTAGTGACTGTTTGAAGTTACAGCAGCGTTAAAAAAGTGACTTATGACCGTTTTTCACGCTTACAACCTTTTGTAGTATCACCATGATCACATGATCAAAATTCAGATGCTTCGGAACTGACTTACATTTAAGGGTCATGTGATCACTTTTTGCAACCTTCTGATAAACAAAGTCAATGGGAAAAGCAGATTCACTTAACAACCATGTTACTAGTTTAGCAACTGCAGTGATTCACTTAACAACTGTGGCAAGGTTGTAAAATCGGGCAAAATTCACTTAACAAATGTTTCACTTAGCAACAAAAATTTGGAGCTCAATTATGGTAATAAGTTGAGGACCACCTGTATTTTTTTCATAGCACAATGCACAAGTAGTTTAAGGATAAATTTCTGAATTGGTTAAATTACTCAACATTCAGGTCAAACAGAAATCTTCATCAGTGTGAGTAGTATTACTTTAATAATAAATTGATACTATCTATCATATTCCACTATAATTAAGTACATTAGGACTGGGGTGGCAGAGGGAATTGTTTCCATGAAAGGAAAGCAAGGTCTGTCTTAATTTGAAATTCTGGGAACCTGTCCAGCAACTGTACAGAAGGGTGGTGTTTCTTTTTGTATGCAAGATGTCACAAGAGATTAGGAGGGGAAGCTAAGGACTAATTTCTCTCATAATTAATGCTTCTGAATACATCACAATGGACTCCAGGTTTTCTTGGAACCCCATCAAGTAAATTTGGACAGATGACAATAATATTTTCCACCCTCCCAAAGATGAATAGACAGACATAAGCTTATGCATACCTGTACACATAATTTTACTAATAATCTAAGAATGGAATATGATCCCTGAGTATCAGTGGGATATTCCAGATTTTGAGGAAATGACATCGCTGCCATACAGAGATAGCTAAGCACAAAATGTTTGTTACAGTGCAAGTGAACAATGCTAAAACATCAGTTTATCAAACCAACAATATATCCAAGAAATTGAATGCAAGGTAAATATGAGACCTCAACTCTAAAAAAAGAAATCATTCCTTTAAAATTATATTTTTTTCAAACTCACATCTCAAGGTCTCACCTTTTCTCCCTATATATAACCGCATTGATAAAATATTCAAAATCTGCTAACCATCATCTCTCATCCTTCCGTCAAGTTACCAACATTTTTTTTCCAATTTGGAACTGCGGTATGATATACGATGGAACTTATTGTTCCTATGTTGTTTTTAAGTTATGTGTTTGTTTCTGTTGATGTGCTTTTGTGTATAAAATAAAAATATATTTTAAAAAAAACATTTTTTTCATCAATTCTTTCTTTTACCTCATCTCACATCCTCAAATTGTCTTACAGCATGGGAGGCAGGCCATAACCACAAGCCATTTCCTAGCATTAAACTTTCCTTAAGAGTCTCAAAGTATTCCGACTTGATAGGGCTAACTGTGTGTTTGTGTATGAAGGAGACGAAATAAGAGAGATAAAGAGAGAGAATTATGGAATGCTAGGCAATGACATGTTTTCAGCCAAGGCTGAACATAGTCATTTCACCATCTACTCCTCCACCCAATCCCAGACATGTTATTTGATTTTGTCCCTTTAAGAGACAGCATGATATCACTTGGCATGGTATTGGCTATTAAAACAATGGTTGACTCAAAAATCAAGTCGTGACAGTAAGGGTTACTGAACGCCACACAGATTTATCTGGAAATACATGATTAAAATGTATTTTAATGTAGGAATAAAATGTAGGAATAAAACCAAAATATATTTGGAAAGTGATAAATCATGGAAGTATATTGCCGAACCAGACTGGACAGAGAACAGTGGTCAATTTATTCTTACTGGCAAAGTTGAATTAGCTACTACTTAAGAACTTAGCTAAAAATATTCAGATTGGTCTGGATTTATAGCAAACACACATTTTGGCATTTCAAATTCTTTCCTTTCAAATTCATTTTGCAGGACAACCTGAGAAATTAGAAAAATTTATTCTTACAAACTATAAAAACAAAAAACAAACAAACCTACATATGTTTAAATTGGAAAAGGTTAGTGCAGATAGGGGTTCCACAACAGTATCTATCTTAAACACAAATTCTCTGCCAAGTATTGAACAGTTTTAATTATTCATACCCCCCCAAAAATTATGAGAAAATCTCCACTTTTTCTGACCTTGTAATTCATCATTTAAGGGCTACAAGGTGGGTTGTCAGGCTGTTTTTAGAGTGGACACTAAGTAATATTTGAAAGAAAGAGGAATGTTTCAGGAATAGTAGGAAAGTAAGCAATGTGCAACTATCCCAGTAATCTCTTGAAATTCAGTATATGATCATACACCCAATTTGAAAACAATCATGACTACACTAGGAAATAAAGCTTTAAAATTTGATAAACATGTTGGCAGATAATCTATATTTATTTTGCTACAGAAGTTATTTCAAAAAACAGTCAATTTCCAACATTTACACACTTGTACAGAAAAGTATTTATATTTAATGCTTTTCTCCATATATCCCACACAAGTCTCCGTTTTTAAACTTAAGTCTTGCCACGTTTTGTCCAGTCCGCAAAATAATTCAGTATTTATCTTCATTCTTATCAAGTACTGCTATTGGAACAGGTGGCTCCAACTACTCACACAATATCACATTTTAAGGCAACCAATATTTCACTGTTCTTTCTGATTTATATATTTTTCATTTCAAAAAGTTAGACTTACCCAAAATAAAAAGTTGAAGACAAACATGGAGTATTTCATACATGAGCTTACACCTGCCATCTTTTCTTACTCCAGAAAGAAATATTCTCAAATGGAAGGAAAATCTCTCAGAAGGGATCTTCTTTAAATTGTTCTATGGCAGAATTGGAAAGAAGTTCTTAGCTGCTTTCTTTGAGCTGACAATAAAAAGGGAACTTATGAAGGGAAAATATGTTCATTATTCATATCTGGTAGGTAAATATTAACCAGGGCACTGAACAAAAGTCAACTTTAGTATTTCCTTGTACACACCTGCAAAGTTCGTAAATATGAGCATTGGCCATACAATTACTTTTTCATCACTGTTGTAACTGTGAATGGCCACTAAATAAGTAGTCATTGTACAAGGACTACCTGTGCAGAGATTTAAATTCAGATATAGAAACTGTAGTAGGAATTATTCATTCTGGTGGGTACATGAAACAAAAAAAGTAAAAAAAATTGAATAAAATTAATTAGGATTGTGGGATATGGTGGCACATTGGCAATCTTCCAGATTCTTGAGGGTTGGTCTTAGAGCTTTAATAGACATTCTATACAAATTATACTGTAGCCAATTAGCACAATATGAAACACAACTCATACATTCCTCAATAGAAACACTTTTTAACAATAATATGCTTGTTGGCGACAGCTATACAAACATAAAATGGATATAACGGTTATAGACTTCCTTACCTGTAACAGCTTTCCACATCTATTTCTTGAATGAGAAGCAAACCATTTTCAAAGAGGAAGATTCAGTACGCTTTTGAAAAGCACCTTTGTGCAAAAGTCTTACTGTTCAGCATCAGAAAGATGAACATATGGCTCCAAGTATTCAGTAGTTTGCATTGAATGTACGGTAGTAATGTAGCTCACAGGGATGACTGCAATAAATCATGATAGGAATGTATTGATAAATTTCTTTTTAAAATCTTTTATATTCTTTTATATTCTTTTATATTCTTTTCCTGTCTTCAATTTTTGTATCAGTTAATTTTTTTTAATGTAAAAAAAAATGGTGGAACTGTGCAAAAATCTTGGTGACAGCTGCCTGTTGCTTCTAAACCAAGAGCTGTGAGGCTCAGAGAGTCCATATTGCAAACCAATTGCATATTGGCTAGTGCTAGCCCATTCTGAATAAACAATGAAGCCTCTTTGGAATACAGTCTTTGATCCCCAAATCACTCCATCTTGCTGGGATTAAGTCTCAACCTGTTCCTCCCATTCCAGAACCTGGCAGCCATCGGTTACCTGGCAGCACTAGACACCATCATGTATTTGGCCATGTGTCAAGATGTATAGTTATAAAAACCTAACCCCACATTGACAGATTATCCCACCCAGAGATTTCATGTGCACTATAAATAGGAGTGGGGAGAGTATCGAGTCTTGTGGCTTGGAGCTCAATCTCTATTATAGAATCCCTTAAATAATCCTTCTGCTCATCACTCTCCCTGAGTGTGTAGAGCCAGAGAATGGCAGTCTGTGGACCCAATAAGAACTGAGATATGAAGTCCATTCTCTACTTAAGAAACCCTTTAAGCATCTTCTGGGAGCCATGAAGTTCCTTAGATGTCAGGGTTTGGATATTTGAAAAGCTCTTCCCATGGAGGTGTGTGACACTAGAGTGCTTTGCAGCAATCAGGGACTGATCAAGCAAAGATAAAGGGTAGATATTAATTCCCCAAGTATTATATCACATTGCAACTGCTCCAAGACAAATAATAGATCTAGTGCAGGGGTGTCAAACTGGTGTAGTCACAGTGGCATCATGTGACATATTGAGACTTTATTTCCTGTTTTCTAAACTGGGCATGGGTGTAGCCAGTGTGTGATGCATCCGGCCCACGGACTGCGAGTTTGACAGCCCTGATCTCGTGCATAGCCTCTGCAATGTGTCTCCCAAAGAACTCCTCAGATGTTGAAGTCCTCAAAGACAAGTAGCTTCAGTAATTGTATCACCAACCTCCCAATGAGACTCCGCAGCACAAGGAAGCTGCTCTGCTCCTAAAAGACAATACAAATAGTGGCATTCTCACCTGAAAGAGCAGCTTTACTAGTAAGGCCTTACATTGTCTGTGGGACAGTGAACTTTAATCTCCCAAATGACAATGCCACTCCACTTTCCTTCCCCTTAGTTTGTGGCTATGAAAGACTTAATTGAGCACATCCCAAGAGGGGAAATGCCCCCATCTCCAACCACATTTTGATAGTGTAAGATGAGGCAACCTTTACTTTAGGCAGACTTGGCATTCAACAACAACAGCTGGATACCAGCAGTTTCAAATTTCTTGTAAATTAGTCTTTCAGTAACCCATCCTTTCTCCATCAATCTCCACACAACTTCAATCACCTCCTATAATGGAATGCATGTGTGACCTTGGGGAAAGAGGAGATGAAATACTGCCTAGAAAACAAGCAAAGAAGAGGGGCAGGAGCTTGCAGTTTCTTAATGGGAAGATAAAGAAACTAAAGAAGGACCCACCCTAATGGAGCTAGCAGTTAAAAGTGGAATCCCTATTGCAGGATTCATGCCATTCTCCCTGGGTAAAACACACAGGAAACACAACTAGATGAGCTAAACCTACTTTTTTTGTACTTTTCTTGCATTAACTTGCAAGTTTGAAAGTACTACATTGTAACTACATATACTGCATCAGTGGTGGGTTGACAATTTTCTTACTTCCGGTTTGGGCGTGCCTCTGTGCTCACTCGCTCACTCACTCGTGTGTGCAATGCTTCTGTGCATGCACAGAAGCATCTGGGTAGGCGGGCAGAGCCTCCTGCCGCCACTACTACCGGTTCACCCGATCCGGGCTGAACCAGGAGCAACCCACCTCTGCACTGCATATGTATGGATGAATTAGGACACAGAGAAGAGGAAAATGGCGTAATTGCCATAAATATGGAATCTTTTGACAATTGGGGTCCATTAACTACCTTTATTACCAGCTTTTCAAACCTGTTCTCTGTTACTTTCTAATGAGAGATGCTACATTGTTTTAAAAGCAGTTTTAATTTGCATTTACACTAGAATCTTTCTTGAGAACATTTTGTCATCTGTAAACTTATGACACACATACACACATACATGCACACATACATACAGTAAGGATATGGCTAGCTGATGAGAGCTAAATAGCTTGAAATAGATCTATACGAGTCTCCCTTTATTTATTTATCAGCACAAATGCAACACACACACACACACACACACACACACACATACAGTGTATATATATATGTGTTTTTATTTGTGCTGATAAATAAATAAAGGAAGACTAGNGTTGTATTCTTCCCCTCCCTGGTTTTCTGTGAGCCGCCCTGAGTCCCCTCAGGGAAAAGGGCGGCATACAAATGTTAATAAAACCAAAAACCAAACCAAACCAAGCCATTTCTATAATTACAAAATCTAATCAGCAAAACCTAAAATAATTTCACTTTTTTTTCAGGTTTGAGCAAAAGTTTCAGAAACAGTTTCCAAGGAGAAACAACACTAGATAAATTAGTTTTATAAATTAAAATATATACATTATTTCTACAATTAATACAGTCAATATTACCATCTCCTCTAACTTTATCATCTTTACCATCCACTCTTCCATTGTGGGAATTAGTGAGTCTTTCTACTCTATTTTTGTACCTAAACTTGTTACTCTTCAATCAGATTTTGGTTCCAGTATAGAATTATATAATTTAAGTACTTCTTGGAGCCAAAAATCAAATGTTTCTTTTAAAGTTGCCATCTGGTGATCTCTAGCAATCAATCTTTAAGGTCTTGTTATCGACTTGGAATATAAGCAGATAATTTTTCCCAAGCGAGAGGATCTTTCTAATAAACTTTCTTTATTTAAATCTTTCTTTAAATAAATTTCATCCAAATTCTTGATGTTGAAGGCTTTCTAGAAACAATGCTATAATCACCCTTTTCTGTATATTTCAAACAATCAAAAATTTGCAATGATGGAAATATGTAATTTTCTTTTTTCTTAAACTGATTGAAGAGACGCCCAATAAATACCGGACTCGTGGTTCCAAACTGTTTTCAATCAGTAAATAAACAATTGAACTCAAACTGATTAAAAAGATAAGATTTGGTCAAACTATGAGTCCATGTAAGGCTACTTTAATGGCTCAAAGCATGATGTAACCTCCAATTTCCAGCTAAATCACAAATGATCACAAAAGTATCTGTTTCTGCCATCAACCCACAAAATAAACCCAGGTGTCTGAAGTTTAAGAAGTTAATCTCAAAAATCTCTCTTTAATACAGAGCAAATTTTCTGCTGTCTGGATCTAGTGTGAGCAGGACATCAATTTTCTAGTTCCCTCAAGAAGCAAGTTCTCATTCCTGCCTTGCCTCCCCCACCACCACTTCCACAAAAATCCACAGTACTGAAATGTAGTCATTTTGACATAAAATTTTTCACTTGGGTATTAAGCCACTGATGTTTCTACATAAGGTCCTGGGATATTATCTGACGTTGACTGATCCTGATTTAGATCTATAAAGTAAATAAATAATACAGTCTAGATATTTATTTTTCAACTGGAAACCTACTTTTGTCAGATTTCTTGTTATGCATTGTATTGAGTTCTATTTTGCTTCTCAAATACATAACAAGTTTTTATTTATTCAAGGTTGTTTCAAACACCTTTGCTACAAAAATATTTGACACACATATTTGGGTTTTCCCCCCTACTCTCTTGCAGTCTTTCTGACAAATCAAATTGATGTCATTGAATACATTATGTTGCCTTCTTTAGTCATATGTCATTACTACAATTTACTTCCTCACGTTTACTTAACCTGGTTTGTCACTTATTTTACTTCATTAATTTTGTCCTTGATAAATATGCTAAATAGAGCAGAAAGCAATGAACATCTTTTAAGAGGCAAGATACTTCACCCATTCTAATCTGTCCTTTTATTCATTATAATTCTTGGTATCATTACCTTCTTCCTCGCTGAATAGTGAAATTATCCATTCCGATTAAATTATTTCTACATCCCAGTTTTGGGAATGTAGGAAGGGCAGAGTAAAAATTAGAACAAAGTCTCGTCATATTCTGAGTCATTTCAGCTTTCTATTACATTTTCTAATCATTTGGAGTTTTGAAACAATTCTTAATTCAATCTGACACATTAAAACTGATTTTTGTTAGAATCTTCACAAATCTTTTTGTTATTTTCAGGGTCACTTCCCTGACAGTATTTTCCTGTCCTGCAAATTCAGATTGAGTGGGCACATTCCAGATCTCTCCCTGAAGGTCATATGGCAAGGCTTAGGTAGTAGGCAGGCAGGCAGGCAGAGAAAGATAATTCTCAGAAGAAACATTTAGCCAGGTATTTATTTCAATGTTCTTTAGTTGTGTTTTGTTCTGAGGAAATAAATTATTGTACAAAAATAACATATGCTAAAAATTAAAAAAGACTTAAAATAATTAAAAAAGAATTAAAATAATTAAAAAAGAATTAAAATAATAACAATAATATAAATCCAGCATGATATCAGACTACAAAATTCATTTTCAATCTCCTCTGGATTGAGTACCAGAATTGAACACATTTTCTTGGAAAGAAATGTGTTGCAAAAAAAAGCAAAGTAAACTCTGGAGCTGAAGCAAGTACTGATATGACTCCCCAAAATGTGGAATCTCTAAAAATGAACAGAGAGATCTCCATCACTGATACTTATATATATATATATATATATATATATATA